AACAGATATGTCTATTTTGAGGACATCAACGGTTTTTAATAGAAGACACACTAATTGATCACACTAATTAATCACAATACATCAAAACACTTTTTTACACACTGGACGCGCGTTTTGTGAATTATGTAAGCATCATCAGCAGATGATTAATTGTGTAAAAAAGTGTTTTCGTGTATTGTGGCGAATTAGTGTTTTATTTTGCTATTGTAACACCAAAGGTTCCGAGCCCTAACTATATCAATCTCCCCAGTTTTACAACCAAACCAAACACAAAATCGTAAAAATTTCTGTGCGGAAATGCATCATTCTCTTTTTTCGACTCTAGAATAACTGAAATCAGTTACATGAAAACGTGTTCGTGCTTTACATTCTAAACACTTTTATTGTGTAGGTATGACCTTAACCTAGTATAGATACTGTAATTTAGACATCAATATCGTACCGAGAAATGAACTAACAAACCATACCAAACCAAAAAAACCTAACCAAAGCAATCAAAAAACACTGTAAGCTAAAACGCGTCAGTGTGTTTTGCTAAATTGTCCAGTACTATTAATAAGTAAAAATGGTACCTATACTTCTGCAAGGAGTTTTTTTGCGTGTCTATGTTTAGAAAAATTTCTATAATGAAAAACAGAAACGTGTTTTTATGTAACTGGTTTCCGCCATTCTAAAGTGTAAAAACTGAAAATGATGCATTTCCACAGAAAATTTTACATACTATTCAAAAGAGCTTTCAAATACTAAATAAACAAATGTTTCTTACATATCTGATTTCAAGTAAACTAAAATAGCCCTGATTTCAGCTATTCTAAAGTTGAAAAACTCGAAAGGGATGCATTTCCGCAGAAAATTGTCTATGACATACTATCACAGTTTAAAGAATATTTTTTTTTAAACTGTGATACCTATTCGAAAAGGCTTCTAAATACTAAATAAACAAATATTTCTTACAAAACTGATATCAAACAGGGTGGAATGATTTCAACGGATGATGGAATCAACGGATTTTTTAATTTTAATCATGGATTCAAATAAAAAAAATCAAATTGTTTAAAAACTTATGATAAATCGAAGGATAACTGTAAAAATGATAAAAAATTTCCTATAAAGCTAAAAAAGTATTACTATATCAAATACACCCTATAAGTATATCCATTCATCAAATAAGCACAGTTAAATTGCACTTGCTGTTTGGTTTGGTTTGTGAAACTACTTCCTAATCTTCTTGAGTTATACTCTGTTTTGATTATAACAATTTCCAAAGAAAACTTAATTATTTAGTTAGTAATATTGAAGAATAAAGGTTTTGTTTTCTTTCGAAAAATATTTTATTTTAATTAACCTCACTGTCACAAACAAGCAGTTTTCATCGTTTTCAGCCATCCGAACTTTACATTTTTTATGAGTAGACGAGATCCCGAATTTAGAGATCCCGCGGGATTGAAAATATTAACCCCGCGGGATCTCGAATTTGCGATCTCGAGTCGGGATCGCATTCCCTATTGGTGACTAGTAATATTTGTTATAAAAGTATCTAATATATGTACATTTTTAGAAAAAAAAAATTTCTTAAATGTCATAATTTTTAAAAAATGTTAATTTATAATTTAGTGAAATCATACATCCATACCTACAACATGGTGTTATAAATAAATAAAAAACAGTTTCTGCACTCTGTGCGCATATTTGAAGTAAAACTTCTAACTAGCAGCTAATAAATTGAAAGATTTGAAATGTATATATTATTTTATGAATTAATAAAAAAATTGAGTTAATATAAAACCGTATACTATTCTAGCTTTATAATTTTATGTTTTTTTTTTTTTTAATTTTTATTAAAAACGATAATTCGCCCGGCCGGATAGCCCTGGCAACTGTGGCAATTAAACCAAAATATTACTATATCTATATCTCTGACTATTACTAATCAACAATTTGTTTTGTGTGGCCTGTGATCTGTTTTTGTTAATGAGAAACCATGTAAATAAATTTATACTCAATTTTACACCTCTATGGATCGCCAGCTAATAACGCAATAAATTTCCAAACAGAAAAAAAACACAAAATAAAATCCTTCTATGTTGCACATTTTGATATTGACGTGCACCATTTTTAATCCCATTTTAATAACCAGACTTTCATATTAAACTATGTATTTATTCTTCATTTCTGTTGTCGATTCTAGAAGTAATTTTAAATTTCATCAAAATAATAGACTCCCAAAAATATTAATTAGTATTTTTCTAATATGCGAAATATATAGGTAATTTATCATTAAATAATTGGGTCTATTACCTACTTTCTGGCAGATTCATTTTTTCGAATTTCGCCACTAGAAGAAAATCTAAAAAAAATAGTTATTACACAAAGAAGAATCTTTTAAAATATTTAAATATGCACACCTGTACAAACAGATATGTCTATTTTAAGGACATCAACGGTTTTTAATAGAAGAAACACTAATTGATCACACTAATTAATCACAATACATCAAAACACTTTGTTACACACTGGACGCGTTTTTGTGAATTATGTAAGCATCATCAGCAGATGATTAATTGTGTAAAAAGTGTTTTCGTGTATTGTGGCGAATTAGTGTTTTATTTTGCTATTGTAACACCAAAGGTTCCGAGCCCTAACTATATCAATCTCCCCAGTTTTACAACCAAAACAAACACAAAATCGTAAAAATTTCTGTGCGGAAATGCATCATTCTCTTTTTCGACTTTAGAATAACTGAAATCAGTTACATGAAAACGTGTTCCTGCTTTACATTCTAAACACTTTTATTGTGTAGGTATGACCTTAACCTAGTATAGATACTGTAATTTAGACATCAATATCGTACCGAGAAACAACGAAAATATACAAAAATGAACCAAGAAACCATACCAAACCAAAAACCTAACCAAAAGCAATAAAAAAACACTGTAAGCTAAAACGCGTCAGTGTGTTTTGCTAAATGGTCCAGTACTATTAATAATAAGTAAAAATGGTACCTATACTTCTGCAAGGAGTTTTTTGCGTGTCTATGTTTAGAAAAATTTCTATAATGAAAAACAGAAACGTGTTTTTATGTAACTGGTTTCCGCCATTCTAAAGTGTAAAAACTGAAAATGATGCATTTCCACAGAAAATTTTACATACTATTCAAAAGAGCTTTCAAATACTAAATAAACAAATGTTTCTTACATATCTGATTTCAAGTAAACTAAAATAGCCCTGATTTCAGCTATTCTAAAGTTGAAAAACTCTGAATGGATGGATTTCCACAAAAAAATTTTTATGACATTCCTACTATTCGAAAACGCTTCCAAATACTAAAAAAACAAATATTTCTTACATAACTGATTTCAAGTAAATGAAAGTAGCCCTGGTTTCAGCTATTTTAAAGTTGAAAAACTCGAAAGGGATGCATTTCCGCAGAAAATTGTCTATGACATACTATCACAGTTTAAAGAATATTTTTTTCTTTAAACTGTGATACCTACTATTCGAAAAGGCTTCTAAATACTAAATAAACAAATATTTCTTACAAAACTGATTTCAAGCAGGGTGGAATGATTTCAACGGATGATGGAATCAACGGATTTTTTTTTATTTTAATCATGGATTTAAATAAAAAAATCAAATTGTTTAAAAACTTATGATAAATCGAAGGATAACTGTAAAAATGATAAAAAATTTCCTATAAAGCTAAAAAGAGTATTCCTATATCAAATACACCCTATAAGTATATCCGTTCATCAAATAAGTACTTGCTGTTGTAACGTTTAAATACTTTAATAGATCGAAAAATAATTGTAAAAGATTCTAGCATATAACACATATCCCTAATATCTATTCATCTATTAAAATGTTGGACCGAGTTATTTCATGTGAATCCATTACACTTCTGAATGGCAGAGATTTATTTTGAAATTGTAGAATGCCATAAATCCGGTATTTGAATACATTTCATTTGCAAATTCTAGTGCAGCACTAGCTTCATCTGATGTCACGTTATATTTTTATTCCCGAGGACTAATCGATGTCAAAAGATATGCTGGAGTCAAGGGTGTTTTATACCTGTTTTGAAACAGCTGAATGTTCATCAAGCCAACCTCCACCTTCCCAAATTTATCTTCTAGTTCATTTCAATTTTCTACCGACATTTTGTTCTACAATAAGTACTTTGCACTTTGAACATTAGATGGTACTAATTTTATTCTCTACTTAAGACAGTCATTATCTTCATATCAACATCATATTTCAAAAAAAAATCCCTTTAATCTAAGCCGCCGATTTTTTCTGCGGCAAAGTTCACGGAATAAAGTATATCGATGACCGATGTGGAAAAACGACACCCGCCGTAGAAATGTTAATACCTATTGTCAATATCGGGCAGAGTTACAAAGATTTAGCCATTTTGGACAGGACTTTAAATAGAAAATTGATTAAAATCAAATCCGATTAAAATTAAAAAAAAATCAATTTTTTTGATTTTTTTTATAAAAATCATGATTTTTTTGAACCCTGATTTCAAGTAAATGATTTTAAAAAAACAATTTCAAAAACTTCAGCCAGTATACGGATTAATATATCCAAAATATCTACATCATTAATTTCTCGAAAATAAAGTTTCATAAAAATATAGAGATTGTATTATCAATTAAATAATCAACTACTAACGAGCCGCTCAACAACAACATCGAGAACGTTGTTGCAATTGACGAATCGCCATAATAAAATGGCGAATTTACGCGCAATCCCGCTCCCAACTAACTATCGCCCATTAAACAGTTTCCACCAGGCGTGAAACGAACAACTCCAAAACATAATCAATTCGAATTAATAGCAGACATACCGCGACAAATAATATAATATGGCAAAGGCACGGCAACGTTGCCGCGACGGGTCATCAATCGTCCGCGGGAACTGTGGCAACCGCCTGGATGGGCGGACCCGTTCCCTCCCAGACCCCGCCCACCGTTCCTTGGTCCTCCGTTCCGTTCGAGCAGCTCTTCAGTGCGTGTTGGCGAGTTCCAAAGGCAACACAGAAAAAAGAAAAAAAAGTAGAGGACTTTGAGTAGAACAGTGTGATCTGTATGTGTCGTGTTTAGTGTCGAATTAGTAGTTTGTTTAATTTTTGATTATTTGTGCGGTATCCATGATCTCCACGATGGAAGAAACCAAGACTGACATCAAGTCGAAGATATCCTTTAGCGTGGAATCGTTACTGGCGACTTCTGTCACAAAACAATCTCCGTCGCCCACACCAGACGAGTGTTCGAGTTTTTCGGAAAATGAGGAAAATAGGTTTGACACGTCCAGCGAGAAAATCGATGATGATGATGACGAAGAGGAAAATATTACTGTTGACGATGAGGATACGGACGGAAGGGAGAGTTTGAGTCCGGGGTCGCAGCATACCGTGTTGATACCTCAGCCAGTGCATCCGTCTATGTCCAGGATTATACCGCCGGGGCATACGCAGTGGCCGTTTGCTTGGCCAGGGCCAAATGGACCTTTTAGGTCGAATTCTCCACAAAGTAAGTATTATTTTTCCTATGGTTACATAGATATCTATATAACGTTAGAGCAAAATCTGTATAAGGTAGCTCTACGGAGATACATAAAATTCTGGTGCTACAAAAAACGTGTGACACAATTATTGTTGTATTAGCTAAGTTATTAGGTATTCTTCCCCAACTCAGTGTACAATAATTGTGTCAAAAAAATATAGTTAGTACTGCTACAATTTGTACTAATGATTTTCATTTAAATTTCAACAGAGTACAACCTGTACAAAGTGTGAAAATTGCCATCACACACTTGTTCGCTATTTTCATATAAAATTAAGCATATTTAACTATTAGGGATAAAAAAATTGATAGAAATAAAAGTTACAACGTCATACCTAGGACCATTTTACAAGCAAAATGTAGCAGTTTTTTCTACAATTGTGTGGTTTATTACAATTTATTTTTTCGTGTATTAATGAGTTTGACGAATGAGTCTTCGAATAATCATTTTTTCAATTTCAATCTTTATTATCTCCAAAAAAATCCTATGGGTATTTCGCCACTGCAAGAAAATCTACAAAATAAAATAGTTAAACGGAGACTAATTGTGATCAGTGGTTTACTAATAAACAAATTTGTCTAACGGACAAAATAATGTTTAACGTTTCGAAAAGTATATCTCTTTCCGTCGACAAAAACTGTTGACGTTCTGTTAAAATGACATTATATCAAGTTAAACTTCAAAATTAATAATTACTCTTTGATATCAATTACTTAATAAGGTAAAACCAAAAAGCTTCAAACTTTCTGTATGATTAATATTAATGAGATGTTTTTAATTTTTACGTACCTATGTTTTATGTTATGTTTATTTATGGTATGTTTTTTAAAATCAAAGAAGCGAGTGCCTTACATTACTAACACCTACAGATGCATAAGCAATACATTTATTTTTATTATATTGTATTAAAAAAAGCCTCTTTTATTTTTCTTTTAGAGGCTACTGCTTCTTTCATCATAATTTTTGCGTTGTTAAAATCTACTCTGTATAATCTTTATTATATATTTATATTCAAGTTTTAAATTTAAATATTCAACGTTATTAAATATGTCCGAAATTAATAAAGTCCGATTTTTTTTAAAATTGTTTACTGTTTCTTTTTAGCAATGTTCCATGCTGCTATGGAAGTTTTTATGCATTTGTATCGTTATATTTATGTTATACTTCTGTATATGTATATTGTGCTCTTGTAATTTTGAATTGGAACTAATAAATTTTATTACTACTACTACCCCTTAAACAAAAAAAAAACAGTATAAGATATGAATAAAAACAATACAATATATTTTTTAACTAAACTCTCTACTATTAAATTCTAAAAGTTAAAAGGTTGTATTTAGTATCATACGTAAATCAAAGATTCCTAAATGAAATAAACCTTATATCTAACTAGATATAATAATAAAAATATGGCATAGAAATTAAATAATAAATTTGAGAAAGAATTAATTAGCCCACCTTGCAGCCCCCCTATTTCATTATTTTTTTTATAATTTTTTATGCTTACTGCGGAAAAATAATTATTCCAAATTTATTTTTTAAACATATTTAGTTCTATTCAGATTATATTTTGATAACTAAAAAACTAGACTATAACTAATATACCTACAGTTTCAACATATTAAAAATCGCAACAAAACGATCTAAAAGCGGACTATAAATGTAATAGAAAATTTTACCCATTAATTTTATTGATTATTTTTCATATCTAATAATACTTTTTATAATTAACGTAATAGAATAATTTTTTGTTGTCAAATTGTTTAATGAATGTAAATTAAAAAATAATTAAATAAAAGTACCCGGCTGTTTAAACAAAACAATTAACAATTGTTTTTTCTCTTGGTATAATTAATTTTTTATGAAATAATAATCGTAATGATTAATTTAATTTCTATTTAAACAAAAAACATACCAAGCCAATTATTTTTCCCAGGCATGATGAACAGCACAAATACACGCGTTAGATTCTAACGTTTAAACGTATTATACATATACAATTAGACAGAAAGTATTAACAAATTACTTATATCTGCGGATAATATCAAACGGTAAAACATATCTTTCTGTCAGCGCGGAATAATGCTCATTAGGAATTCAAAAGTAATTTAAATCTTTTACTTGTCTGATCTTTAGCGCAAGAAATATACAAGCATTATATTAAAATACCTTCTAATTTATAAAACGCGCGGCGAGTTAAAGCTTCTAATTACGATTTATATGGTAATTGATGGGCAGGTCCGTACTAGAATATGTTAAGTTGACTTTAAACGAAATTTTTAAATAATATCATATTAAAAAAATTATTTAACATTAAATGGCACTTTCAAAATATACTTATATATTTCTCTTTTAATACTATTAGATATACCCTTAAAATATACAACGAAATTCAATTATTATAATTTAATTAGATATGTTTTTCATAATATTTTAACATATGATTGACACTTTATTGTCTTAATCTGAAATTCATTGTAAATGATTGGTACTCTTAATATAAGTAAATAAATTAATATTTTTCTTTATAAAATAATTATTTGTGATTTTTTCAATTTGTTGAAAACTAAAAAATATAATGGGACAAGTCCACTAAGTCCAATAACCAAATAAAATGTTTCCATTTTTGACTATTTAATATACTCAGTACAGTTTGATACAATATATGTAAATTATATAATTTATGATTAATTTAAAAAAATTAAAAGTTCCCAAATTTATCATTTCAGTCAAATAAATATCTACTCAACATATTCATTTTTTGTCAATGACATGTATTGGCTATTTCTATTCGAAATATCTTGAGAACGGTTGCTCGTAGCGATTTTTACCAAGAGACATTTTTTACGTAAAAATTACGGAAATGTATATTTTTTCACTCAGTAGTTTTATACAGGTACGGGCGAAAAGTTATTACTCTTTCAAAACAGTTAAAACACAAGTGGTGCCCCGTACAAATAGGAGTCATATTGACATCAAAATCAAATTTCTCATGTCAAAAAACTCCCGGACGCCAATTTTCATCCAAATATTGACGTTATTTCAGAAATTATTTGAAAAAAATCGAAATAAAAATAAAACTTCTACACCCTGTATCATCGAAACTAAGCATTTTAGGATATACAGTTATAGAACTTTTTTACTTGTTTTTATCTGCAGAATATGCTGCCAAAGTTTCCGGAATATAGTTCGGACCGCCCTGTATACCTACATTTTTAGCCTGTTAGAAATTTCCCATATAAGCCCGTGGCTCAGCGGCCGGTGTGTTTGACCTCTGATTTGAAAGTATTTACCAACTGTTGTTCATTTAAAGAGACATATTTAATTATACCAATAAAGGAACCATAAAGCCACCATCTCAAGAAAGGCAATGTCAAACCACATTGAGTTTATTTGCCTAGTATAGAAATAAAGCTAAAAAATAAATAAATAGAGCTTCACAGATTTGACGATAAATTGTATGTCTCATGTAGACTCTCTAAACATAAATAAATGTCAATACAAGACTCTCTAAACATAAAAAGTACATGAATTATTGTAAATACTACTTGAATTTCATTTCATTCTGAAATATTTAAATCAAAAATGATCGCGTCTATAACAAATACGTTGAATCTAAAATTACAAGACTAATTTATCGATTACAACCATGTTGCATAATTTATAATGAACTCTACTTGACTTTTTCATTATTCTAAAATATCCAAATCAAGCATAAAACTTAGTGTCTAGCTCGTTTTGTCGACTTCCATAATCCATTTCTTGAACTTTTTATTCTGCTTGGACTTTCTGGCCTATGTCCTTCATCAGTACAATACAACAACGGAGATAAAAAAGGATAGAGGAATGTAAGAAACAAACGAAATCCTAAAATTACACTAGAACACCGCACTGACTGGACCAGAACCGTTCTGCTTCCCAAGTGGAAACCAACTTAAAGCAGAACTCAAGAACCTGGAAGACTTCATCCATAGCTTGGAATAGGAATCCTCCAACGGTCTAAGATACCCGAAGAAATTTTTCAAGACTTACGACCGAGAAAAATTAAAGATTTTCCTTGATTTAAGTAAGAACAATATTCGGATTATCACGGGGTTTTTAACAGGACACTGTCTCCTCAATGAACATCTCAGTGGATTGAAGTTAAGAAATAACGGCGAATACAGATTCTGTGGGGAAAATGGGGAAACACCAGAACACCTCATCACCGAGTGCGCCGAGACGACAACCATTCGTGCCATAAACTTTGGTACGACTAATATCGGAGACGGAGAACTAACCTCTGTAAAAGTGTCTCAGATACCTACTGGCTTTTATCAAAGTCCTGAGGCTATATGATGAGTTATAATTTAATAAAGGAGGACACAATAGATCTATAAGGTCAGTGTAATTAACTCCCTTTCTCCCATATAATCTACATGCCTGAAGCCTCAGTTTGCAGCATAAATATAGAGTATACTATGATTGCTGTCCATAGCCGCCGCAAAATTGAACTATTTAAACGCCTAATATGCAGAAATCGATTGTTCCTCATATTTATCATCTACAATTATGTCACATACTTCTACTAAAATTCCATTCTGTACTGTAATTTCGAATCAAACATTTTCAACTAAGTATAGCCTTAAATAGTCGACAATTTCACTCAGCATCCAGTAAACCCTCAACTTTTTCAACCGTACCTACCTATCTACACCGATCCTTACCAATTACGGCGATTAATATGGACGTAGTAGAATAAGAATTGTCCGTGTTCCGGGAAAAACGACATGGGCTGCCGGCCGCGCCGGTACGACCGCTGCGGGAAAAAAAGGAGCCGATGGCGAATCGACGACGGCCGCGTTGCCATTATTGCCTCGTCCTAACGATTACCGTGGCTCGTAAGCGCAGCAATGTGGTTAATTTCGATCGGTCTTTACATATCGTTATGGAATTATCGGGAATGCGCACGACAGCCGGCGACTAGTTTTGCCTTTATGAGCCGCGCTCCGGTAACAGAGACCGCGAAAAGGACGATACGGTCGCTGTGTTAAATGGCTGAGCGGCCATATTGGTACGGTGGGTACAGATGAGGTTTGTGATTAAGGGGATTATGAAGAATCCTTTAACGTAATACTATTCAACACATTCAGCTTAATGATATTACTGCCCGTTTACACTGGCATGATCCTTTGAAATTATTCAATGCATAACACAGATTTTGGGTGGCATTCGGAAATATGAGTGATATATTAATTTTTTAATAAAACACGCTTTTAAATGTATCAAATTTAATTAGAGTATCATACAAGATAGAAGTACATGAGCCAAACAGGTAGAAATTTTTTAGATATACGGATTAAACAGCATATAAAATCTATTAATAATATCCAGCAAAATTCTGGTCTAGCAACCCAATCTATATTAAATAGTCACAAAATTAATGAAAACTCATTTAAGTTACTACATAGAGAAACAAAAGGCAGACGCTTAAATTACCTTGAACAGTCAGAAATATTCAAATAAGTTAAAAAGACCAACAAGGAGTTCTAAACACCATTTATTATTACCCCTACTGTAAACTCACTTAACCCACCCTGTGCACATTACCTATGCTTATGCAATTACCCGAAAAACAGAACAACTACGAATTGCAAAAAGAGCCATGGAGAGAATTATGCTAGTCATCCTGAGGGAAAAATACGGAACATCGACATACGGTCAAAAAAATTGTGTGTGCACTAGTGATGCGTCGGTATTTGAGTTACGCGATTTTGGAGCGGTATTTTTTTGTAACGTCGTGTCGCGCTCCACAACGAATCAGGAACCTGTTACTGAAGAACGACGATCATAATGACGACAAAATTATAAATTATTTATAATTTGCAAATAAATTATTTATAATCGCACTTGAAGTTAGCTCGAACCGTAGTAACCGCATAGCAACGTGTTTAGCTCCAGCCGTCGCGATTTCGTCGGTCGCCAACAGTAGTATCTGGAACTGGTATGTCCGTAGCGCCGCACGATCTCGATCGGGACGTGTTCGCTCCAGCCGTCGCGCGTCGCGTCGCTCCTAGAGTTGTAGTTCCCTGTCGCGAACAAAAGTAACTGCTGTAACTGATTATCGACGCTCGACCTCGGCGGCCACGTAATTCGTTCCAGCAGTCGCTGGAGCGCTTCTAGGGTTTCGGTTTTGCCTGTCGCGATTTGGTCGGTTACTATTGGCGTTGGTGCTCCCGTCGCTACGTTACTTTCGAAATAGCGATTTTTGGTATGTACTAGACATGGTTTAAAATAGTGTTGTTTGAAAGATGAAACGTAAAAGCAAATAAAATAAAATAAAAATATTTTATTTGCTTTTATACATTTATATAAGTTTTATTGTTTATATCTATTTTTAAGGTTAGGTTAGACCAGTAAACATTTTTTTTTTGACAGTGGTTTGGACTTTGTTCTTGATTTTAACATTAAATATATTATATTGCAATACACATAAATATGAGCCGTTCATTTTATTTAAACGAAAATTGATAAGAAAAAAAAAATAACAAGGAATGTCATCGTTTTTCTAAAAATGAGATAGATTGGCTATGGCTATACAGAATTATAAACTCGATATTTGGAAAATGAGTGGCGGATAAAAGTTACATTAATCTACAAATATAGATAAGCTAGATATATTTTTAGCGAGGACCGCAACACTTTGGAAGTCGGAACCTCCGTTACAAAATCGGGATATTTTTCTGGAACGGTCGCTATTGTAACGCGACTCACGTGGAACCGGTATTCCCATCACTAGTGTGCACTATGTGCGCACATTTAAGTAAAACTTCGTACTGACAGATATTAAATTGAAGGATTTAAAGGACATGTCTGAATCGGTCGATTAGGTACAGATGAGGACTGATTAAGAGCATTACAACCAATCTTTAATATAATACTATTAAACAAAAAGCCTAATGATATTACGGTTGATTTACCCTGACAGGCATCCCTTGAAATTAATATCTGCTCACAGATAAAACCAAAGCTGGTATCCGGTAAACAGGCAATGTTTTAATGTTTGCCAGCTATATGAGTATATAAATGTCATACATTTCTTCATCAAAACATTTAAGAAAGATAGGTTCCAAAGTAGGTATTGATAGACATTTAGCTAATGTTATTTTTAAAAAACATTTTACTATTAACACTGGACGCACGTGCACTAACCATGTTAGCAGCAGATGCTGAAAACTCAGTTCAATTGATGATGCTAAAATGGTTAACTAACGGTTCAGTGTTAACCATTTTATTATTCAAGTTAAATCTTTTAATATATTGTGGTGAATTAATGTTCTATTTTGCCATAAATATCTCCTAAAAAGTAAATATCTCCTATGTATAACCAAAATAAATAGGTACAGATAAAAATATAGAGCCTGCCCATTTAAATGTAGAATATGTGTTTTCAAAAGGACATATATATGCAAATCATATAGGTAATATTAATAGGTAAAAACATATTTTTAACAACGATTATTTTTGTTACAGCTAATATACCAAATCTGAATGGAGCTGGTGGTCCTCCGATAGTTAGGTGTGCACTAAGGAAACACAAACCAAACAGAAAACCTAGAACGCCCTTCACGACGCAACAGCTTCTAGCCCTAGAGAAGAAATTTAGAGATAAGCAGTACCTTAGCATAGCAGAACGAGCAGAATTTTCCAGTTCACTTAGATTAACAGAAACACAGGTAAATTAAATATTTTTTTTAAAAAACCTGTACTACGTCTATATTCTGCGGTTTTGGTTTATGTCGTTGTGGCTTCTATACTTCTATTAATTTTTAAACTATACCAATTCCTTTCACAATTTCACGGCTGAAAAAAAAACTAGTTATATTTTTATAATAAACCCTGTGAATTAGTATTTTGTCCTAAAATAATGCAGATCTCGACTAAGCAAACGTACTTCAGCGATTCTCATACCTGTTTCGTCCTCTACAATTCCCACTTCTTCAGGTAAACGGTTCAATACGGTCGTTTCACGGTTTGTTTAGTTTCCTTTGTGACCTAAGCGTTTTTATCGGGTTTTTACGCATAATCCCGATCCTTTCGGACGTGAAAAATGCCCTCAAGTGTTCCTTTGTACCGATTATTGGACCGAACAGGTTGAAAGTGACGGTCAATCGCTCGTAAGACCTAAATACGGGACAATGGTAACGAATCTGGGAAAGTTACAGATTTGCTTTTGTAGAAAGGTGTGACGTTGGGAGAAGAACAAATGGAGCATATTTTTTGGCACGTTGAATTTTTAAAATACCTTTTTTTATTTTTTGTTATGTTTAAATTGATTAATGTGAGAAACTATATTAAAACTAAAAATGTATTATCAATTATATTTTCAAGTCTTCTGAATAATGGTCTAGGTAAAGCATCTAGCTCGTTGGCTAGCTTAGAATTAAAATTATTAGGGTTAAGGAACTCGTATTGTCATTGAAGGACATTATCATATTTATTTCAAACGAACAATCAACAAGATTAAAAAAGTAGAAAAAAGACTCAAAGTCTCGGTCTCAACGTTTATACAATATTAAACTGTTACACGTGTTTCGCTCATATACGAGCATCATCAGACAAATACAATTAAAATCAATCCAAATACACGTTCACATTTTAAAATTAAAACAACACTGAGTGTTGTTTTAATTGTAATTTGAACCAGGTCTCTTTGAGAAAAATGGATGCATTCTTTAAATCAACAAGATTATTATATTCTAGATATTGCTTCATTCAGAACCTCGCAATTAGTAGAATGCCTTTATTGTCAAAATTTGTTTTCAATTTGTAGATAAAGGTAAACTAAACAAACAAAGTAAACAAACAAGGTACACAAACAAACAAAAGATAATACAAAACATTATACAAATAATAGATAAAGATGAAAGATAAATAATAATATAGAATAAATTAGTGGTTTCAATTATTACACTTTATACTTTTTCAGTTTACAATCATTCACAATGTCGAAAAAAGCACATTTAAAATTAATAGAATATCCTAGCAACAGCTTGCAGTAGTCAATTGTATCCATAGAGGAAGGCTAATACTTAACTTGTAAAACAACAAACTTTTGATTTTTAACCACATTTTCTCTTGAGGAGTTCAAAGGTCAAAATGTATATATATATATATATATATATATATATATATATATATATATATATATATATATATATAATTAGTGGAAAAGTTAAAAGTTTACAGTTGAGGGTTGGAACCTTTGGTGTTACACAGCAAAATAAAACACTAAATCACCACAATACTCCAAAACACTTTTACTTTTACACTGGACGCGCGTTTCGCTAACCATGTTAGCATCATCAGCAGATGATTATAAACTAGCTTTAACATTAGTTTGTAATCATCTGCTGACGATGCTAACATGGTTAGCGAAACGCGCGTCCAGTGTATAAGTAAAAGTGTTTTGGTGTATTGCGATGATTTAGTGTTTTATTTTGCAGTTAAAAGTTTGTTAACTTTTTCCACTAATTGAACATTCCTACCACTAATTTTGACGTTCTGAATGCTTACATTCAAATTAGAGATACAATATTCTACACTACTAGAAATCACTAATTTATTACACTAACTGAGAAGTTCTGAATGAAACTTATTTGTATAATTTAACAAAATTACTGTAAATCACTATAAATAATGAAAAAAACTTGTAAACAAAAACAGACCACACGAATTGTTGGTTAGGTTCAAAATTTCTTCGCTTCTTAAATAAATTTTATGGGACGTTAACATTAGGTATTAGGCATTTGCATAAAAGTAAAAGAAGAAGTGGCTTACAAATGAACCAATTTGCCTAACGGACAAAAAAATGCTTAACGTCTCTGAAAGTTTATTTCTTTCCAACGTCAGAAGCAAAAAAAATACAAAGAATAAAGAAAAAAACTATTTAAAATATTTAAATGCACCTATTCGAGATTACTTTAGTTTTTTTTAAACAGATACGTAATATGGATACGTCTACAAAAACCGTTGATGTTCTGTAATGACATTCTATCAAGTTAAACTTCAAAATTAACAATTACTACCTGATAACAATTACTTAATAAGGTAAAACCAAAAAACTTCAAACTTTCTGTATGATTATTTTTAATTTTTACGTATGTTGTGTTTATTTATCTTATGTTCTTTAAAATCAAAGAAACGATTGCCATACATTACTAACATCTACAGATGCATGAGCAATACATTTATATTTATTAGATTGTTTTAAAAAAGCCTCTTTTATTTTTCTTTTAGAGGCTATCTAAAGTGCTTTACGTTCTATATTGAGAATAGAGATGAAATAAGACAAAAACTTACTGTTCCTATTTTTGTTACAGGTCAAAATCTGGTTTCAAAACCGCAGAGCCAAAGCCAAGCGACTCCAAGAAGCCGAACTGGAGAAACTGAGGCTCTCTGCCAGACCCCTGCTTCCCCCCACCTTCGGCCTGTTCCACGGGGGGGCGCCCCTCATCTCCCCCTTCCTCACCGCGATGGCGCACCGGCCGCCCCATTTCGCCTTCTCCGGCCCGGGGCCGATGCTCAACATGCCCCAATGAAACCAAAAGTGATACGAACAATGTAAATAGTCGGTGTATATAGTGTTGGACAGTCGTCGGGACAATGTATAATATTAAGGAAAGAGACGTTTATTGAACATTCGGTTGGTACTGCCAAAGTTTATGAAATATTTCTTGGCATGCTTATTACATTCAAATTTTGGTATGTTTTATTAAGGATTTAAAACCGGGTCTGCGTTTAGGTATCGAATATAACAATCTAGCAGAATCTGACATATTTGTAGGTCTTCAAGCAAAAGATACTCCAAAGTCCAAAAACGAACCATTTTTTAATGCATTTATTTCTTACTGTATTAATATAAATATAAGCGTAAGCTTCATTCAGAATTTCGCAATTAGTGGAATAATTGCACCTTTATATATTTAAAGTTTGTTACTTTAATTTCAATGTAAGCATTCAGAACGTCAAAATGAGTGGTAGACATATTCAGTTAGTAGAAAAAGTTATCAAAGTTTCAACTTTCTAATTATTTAATTCAACATTTGCGAGAAATGTCATTTTGGCCCTTTTATTATCTTCCGTCAAGAGAAATTGTGGTTAGAAGTTGTGGAAGATAATCAAATGCCAAAAAATAACACTGAAGTATAATTAGTGGAAAAGTTGAAAGTTTGACAACTTTTTCTACTAATTGAAAATGTCTACCACTAATTTTGACGTTCTGCATGCTTACATTGAAATTAAAGGAAAACACTTCTACGCTAATTGAAACCACTAATTTATTCCACTAATTGCGAGTTTTTAAATGAACCTTTAGTAGATTTTTACTGAGTATATCAAAAATAATTCAAATATTAAATAATTCAACATGATGTGCTTAGCTTGTTGACCGACGATATAATAACATAGAAATTTTCATCATTTATCCACTCTTTTAAATTATAATATACTTCTCTACAAATATCATCCTATATTCTGAATGCTTACAGACGTATTTTTTTGTCCGGATGGCTTCTAGAATCAATACCTCAACGCAGCCCAGTCGCTTAGGAGTTTTATCGTTTCTCCAATTGACAATGCTAAGAATTACATACAGTTCTCAATTCTCTTATTAATGTTATTGAGCCACATGTTATCTTTATTCAAAATTAATTACAATACAAACATATCATTAGGCTCAAAACTTTTTGCAATTTTAGTTTTAACACATTGATTAATATTGTACCTATTCCAATAATGTCATCAGTTTTGTTTTTATTTAACTATCTGGATAATTTTATTGCAATCAATCAAATTTCGTATTTTTGTACAATATATAACTTTTATATTCGGCAAACATTCACTCTTTTTCAATTCCTCAGAATTGCAAATAAAACGTTTGAAAGCTTTTGAAAAAAAAAGTTTTCAAAAGCACCTTTTTTCAAATGTGATTACTGTACCTTCCTTCTTGGCTGTCATATACCATTATGAAGAAGTAATAATACAAGTAGCAATACTTTTTGATGATATTTAGTTGTCACTATTCAGGAAAAACCCTCAATTTGTAATGGTTTCTGTATTGCCTACCAGATATAGATATAGTATTCCAATATTCACAAAACAATCAAAAATATAAAATAAATTGTTACTGTGAGATTAAAAATAAGTACAAAAGATAGTTTGTCATAAATTGGATGGAAAAAATTCAAAATTGTATTGTGTGTTTTTATTTGAGATAACTGATGGTACTGGATAGATACAGGAAACTTTCATTCTGTATTAATGGTATGACAGAACTTATATTATGTTATATATTTTTTAATAACTTTAATACTTAAGAAATGCAGTTTAAAAAAAATGTTGTTAGTACGTTAAAACTATAACTGGTTTTCTAACGGATGGTGAAATAAAAAATCAATAATTATTATATTACTTTAACAATGAATATCTGAAAATGTTTGCAGATGAGATGGTATTAAATGTAACCCAGTGATTTGATAAGAGATTGATCAAGCTTCTTGATCTAAATGACCTAAAGTGTTCTGTAAATAATATGTACCTTCTGTAAATATGTTTTATTTTACGTTACTTAGGTGCAATAATAATTAGTGTAGAAACGGTACGGTAATTTTCATCTTTTTCCGTTAGTTTTAGTTGTTTTTCGAAAGACTGATTAGCTCTGAGTTTTATTTATTTTGTAAATAAACCGTCTTAAGTTGTTTTATTTTGTAAGAAGATTTATTTTATTGTTGTACACAGTTTTGTAACATACTAGTAAATATAAGATAATTGTTTTTATTAGAAAAATGCAGGTTGTTTTATTTCGCCATTTTAATTAGGTTTAATTAGCTCAGTTTAGTTATTTTAAGTCCGATAAAAGAATTTTGTTTTTTATGCTGATATAATAGTGCCAGGTTGTGTTAAAATTTCTTAAAATAGATATTTTTAATAGAAAGTTTGATAACTTAACTCAAAAGAAAAGAAAAATCTAGCTGTTTTAAAAAGTTCTTGAACTGCTTGCTGAACTTGCTTATAAAACAATGGCCCTAGGAGTATTCAAGGTAAGCTCGAAACATCAGATCAGTGGATATCTATTGTCTGACAATTCTAACCACGTAGAACTGCAGCTTTAAGACTCATTGTGCTTTCTGTTACTATAGCCCTTTTATAACAGAGGTATTGAAAAAGATATGATTTTATAGTTGACAGTTTGACATATCCTGTGTTCTCTGCTTTCCAAAACCATTGCAGTTACAGCAATCCCAGAACCTTATTATAGCTTTTCTGGTTATAGTAATCTCAAAGCCCAAGACATCATCCAATTTGTCTTTATTAATGAAGTAGTCTAAATTTTACTCTCAACTTATAAAAGAAAGGGAGTACTTATGGAAGAAACTCAATCATATTCAAATCTAGAATACCACCTCATCTAAAGAAGAACACATTTGACTAACGCAGGTTCAAATCCCTCAAGTGGCAATGGGCAGGACACCTGGCAAGAAGGACGGAAAACAGATGGACCACATCGTACAACATGGTACCCACGGGGAATTAGAGACTTAAAGGAAGACCACACTTGAGATGGTACCATGATATTAAGAAATTAGCATAGCCAACAATAGACAACAATAGGCCTGCAAAGAGAGTATCTAAATATGTGAGGGAAGTTACACCATAATTGGAAATGGTTGAATAAGCTGAGAATGATGATGATGATGATGATAATGATGATGATGATAAACTTTACTCTCAACCACCATTCCCATTCTAATTTCTTTCTATTTCATATTCATATCTTTCGTAGGTAAGTAGACAATTTTTGATTTACCAGTGAATGGCTTTACATTGGTAGCTAATGTAGCGCAATATAATGACTATACTCCTTTATTAATTGACAAAATAATGCGGCAACGTAGGTATAAGTCTACGATTTCTGCAAATTAGACCTTTTAAATTGAAAAAGATATGTTAATAATATCAATATCGTTTGAAGAATTTTTATGAATGTCAATTTTATACCTGTATACAGCGCTAGTAATAAATTACACCCAGAAGATAATCCTAAAGATAAAAACCTCCACTGGAAAGTATTTATAAAATTTCATGTAACGATTTTAGTAAAAAATAATGTGTGGATACCCAAAAAAAATCAATAATAACTAGATTCAAAGAGCATACGGCTCTATTCCAAATAATTTCAATTCTAAATCTTGTATTCCCCAATATATTTTTGTTAATTGTCCTGGGAGACTATTATTATCATTTTTAAACTTAACAGGACTAATACATACAAATTTGAAAAATAGCTGATTGGGGAATATGCTAAGAAATTCGAAACTTCTGGGAATTGGACTCATTCTTTCTTAGGTGTCGACAAAAGTTGAATATCAATAAATCTGTGCGTATTGTAATATATAACATTATTTATACAACCGCATTACTCATTACTAGAATAATATATATCCATGATATATGAAAAACAAAGAGCCTTCTCTTTTCTACCTTTAAAACAGCTTTATGTTGGTTGAAACTAAATCGACAAAAAACGTTTGTTCTATAAATTCAAGAAATTCACAGACAATAGATTGCAAAAGTATCGGTAGATCTAATCTCGACAAAAAAAACTTCTCCAACAGCCTCGGTATCGAAAGCCAAAGAAGCAATAATTCACTATGCCGCATTAGGGGCGGTAATCTGAAAAGATATCGATAGATTGTACAATTTGATATATTGAATTACTATCTATATTTACGATATATCGAAATAAAACTGTTGTTACATGTGATATTGTGCGATCAGAAAAGCTCATGATCAAATAGGTTTTGAATTCTAACAACAAATCAAGTCCTAATGAAATTTTAATAAGAATGTTTTATTTGTCAACATCAAAGGTAACTTGATTATAATATAGGCTTTTCAACATAACTAAGCCATATTGGAGAATTTGAAGATAATTTTAAAAAAAGTTTGTTCCAGAATCACTTATTTTATAAACGCAATACTTTCGTTAAGTGATTTTACTTGACTAATGTCACAACTCCAACATAAACGCATCGAAGAACGTATCGATGTTCTCATTGATACTATCGCATCTCAATATAAACACACATATTTTACAAAGATGATTGGCACGCCGCTGATGCACATTTCTTTAAACTCCAGAATGTTTGATAGAGGAAGGAGCGAATGTATTGACCATGGAAACCCTCGAAATATTTTAAGGTGAGTTTAGAGAAAATTCTCAAACATAGGTTTTGAATGGAGAGAAATAGTTCTTCCCTTAGTAACATAAAGCCTACTGTGTTCCTCAGAGGCATGGTTAGTATAAGGGTTAGTCTGTAGTTTATGACTGTATTTATTCGGGATGTCCTTTTCTTCCCGACCCCAGTTTCTGAATCTCGGCCTACGAAGAACGCTGGAACGGTGTACAGATCTTGGCCCCATCACATGCTGCCACTGCTTAGGACAAGATTACATAAGAGAATGATAAACAGCTAACCCAACCTTATGTTCTATTTTATCAGTAGTATATATTTTCAATAATAATATTATCAGTTTTAAATCATTCCTGTACGGACTTTGCGTATAGTGGTTAATTTTATTATGTCAGTTTAGTATTTAAAAATATTATTTGGATTTTAGATTTCATTGCGAGCATTACATTTTGTAATGATATGACTTTAAATATATACAGCGTGATGTTAATTTGTACAGTATGAATTCTAGAATTTATCACTCCGTGACAGCTATAATTTAACCTCGTATAGAAATGAATAATTCAATAAAGTAATACTACTGCTTTTTAAGTTTCATTGGCACTTTATTTATATTATAATTTCCTATAATATTTTTCACTTAACATAATCATCGTTTT